GGATGCAAAGGTTGTCCTAAACAGCTTAGTCACCAAAATCGCACACCAAATCAGCTGATCCGAAAGCGCGCGGAAAATGAATAAGTAATAAAAAAAAAGCAATTGCGAGTTTCAAACATTCCAACAAAAAGAAAGTGGTCAAACAAATCGTTAGCAAGAAACTCACTGGCTGAAAAATTTATCCAGAGGACAATTGATGATCTCAGCAAATCAAGTAAATTGATCTGAATTAAACCAAAACCACTGCAAAAGATTCAAAGAGTTTGAAAACAGAGCAGAGGCTATTCTGACGGAGAGGGAAATTTTCCAGACCCCAGGTGCCACAAAAGAATTTACGAGAAACGCAACCAGTTATATAAAATTGACTTCGTCCATTACAGTCACTACAGCAATCACTTCATCACCGGAAGCAAGAACAATCCATACGGAGATCAAGGAAACTGCCTTACCTAATCGGAAACGACGAGCGAGCTGCCTTAGCAACAACAGTGATCACTGGAAACACCAAAACGACAACCTAAACCTTCGCAAACAAGACAGAAAAGCCATCAAAAGAATTAAATACATTAATTGAATAAATACGTCGGGATATAGAAACACGAACAGAGCTGACTTTTAAAAATATTTTATTATACGAGTACAAAGCTAGATGTGTCGTCCCGACTTAGATCAGAACAAAAGAAAGCACCTCGAATCTTGAACCACACACGATGGCAAACTCGGTACAGCAATTTGAGTTCAGCTACCAAATCATTACTGATAACATTGCCACCACTGTAGAAAAACGAAAAGTAACGGAAATTTTCGAACACACAATTTTTAGGAAAAACTTGAAAAGTGCTCTAGGCTCAAAATTTATTGCAGCAGCCACCAAAAAAGTTCGCGGAAAAGCAATTTTTGTCAATTTTTAGGAAAAGCGGAATGCTTGTAACCTGCATATTGTTATAAAATTTAGAACAGGCTCCATCTGCCAGATGATTGTCTACTCATCGTCGAAAGAATAGACAGACACTCACACTTAAACCAGACGGTCAATAGCGCAGAGGAATTAGAATTTTCGGCACTGCACTGAGTAATTTGAAAATTTAGAAACAGTAACTAGAAAACCACAATCTTTTCAATTAGAACCGGCTCTTGAATGAAACAGAATTTGCGGCACGAGCGAATTGAAAACTTAAAAACAGTAATCGAAAAATCATTTTCACTCCAAATGGAACCGGTTGTTGAAACAGAAAAATCATTAAAAATGTTTAAATTTTGGTAGAAACAAACAAATAGTCAAAAACTCACACAGCCGACGTTGTTTCAAACATTACAGCAGTTATATCAATCATATCTATGCAAACCTACGTTTCAATCACAAGAAATCCGAGAGAAGTAGGAAGCAATCAGGCGCAAAGTATTAGAGCAAAAAAATCAAACGTTTTGCAGAACAAATCACATACTTTATTTGTTGCAGCGTTAGACAATCATAGGAAACTAAGGGTTTGTGGAACAAACCCACACGCCATTTTAAAAAGCCTCAGACGTATCTGATATATTTAAAACAAATAAAATAACATCCCACAGAGTAACAAATATCACCGTTCGAAGTCCACATAGGGAAAAACTCAAACACCGCTTTTTTGAAAATGACAACGAAAATTCTATCTAATAAACAGAACTGGGAAAACGCAAAACAAGCATGTTTAGACAGCCGCCAGTATTTGCTCATAGTCGTAGAATGAAGGGTTATCAAAAGAAGACGAAATTTAGCTGTAGCAACAAAAAACATTTAAATTAAAATACAAAAAATTACAGACACAACTGGACAAAAACTTAAGAAAGCGAGATGAAAAAATAACACGAAAAACAGTACTCATGGCTACGAAGTAAAAAAAGTCCGAAAACATCTTAGCAAAAGCGAAAGACAACTGAAGGGAAAAAACTCATCTTCTCGCCTCATTTACCTTGGGTACAAACATTAGGAAAACAACCCACATTCTGAGGAACGTCAAGTTTGCAGGTTTTCCCAACCCCAGAGCCTTCGGACCATGCCAGCCTCGAGGCTCAAAGACAATGTTGCAGCGAAATCCGCAAGAAAAATAAAGCCATGTTTGCGGTTTTTAAAGGACATTGAACAATTGAATGCACCGAGACCCAATGCTCGACGAGCTCAAAAAACAGCGTTACCTAAACAGTTAGCACAAAAAGAACAAAGCAATTTACAAGAGAGCAAAACGAAGCAGAAAAAACAGGGACAAGACAAAAACAGAGAACCAACGGAAGCAAAGCCGCCGGCGAGAATACAGTCAAGGGGTTACAAAAGCGGCCAGCTACCCCAGTACCAAAAAATTGCGGCGAAACGATCTTCATTCACAGAGGCATCATGATCAAGCGATGACTGGTCTTTCAATACCAAAGTTACAGCAAAAAGCCATCAACGAAAAAGATTGACGCGAAAAAAACACCAGCACAAATGACAGTGGAAGCAACAAAGAAACCGTCTAGATCAAGGCGGTCGTTTTTCTAGGGGAGTTGGGGAACCCAATCCCAATTAACACTATCAAACAGAATAAAAGAGAAGAACTAAAAAAAGATTTTTTCAACCATGTCACCTACTATCAATAACGAGGAAAATTTACCAGCATAATTTTTTTCTTGAAATCACCTGGAGGTGTAACAGGAGGTAGACAGGAAAAGCCAGAGAGAACAAAGCGGAACAATAAAAAAACCAGATGATAAGATAGAAACGAGTACAAAGGACACCAGATAACAAGACAAGAGAGAGGACAAACAAAATAGAGCGGGCTGCACGAAAGGTGTTACCTCAGAGTAACATGACAAAAACTAACAAAAAAAACGAACATTAGGGAAAAAGCAGATGATTTTTCAAAAATAGGAGAAGAAGCATGAAAAGTGGCATGTCTCAAAAAAACCCAAAGGACCTCAAAACTCATCAATTGAAAAGTCCCACGTGGACTAGAAAACTCGCATTGAAGTCCCAAGCAGAAGCAAAACTCTAAGTTAAAAAGTCTGGGGAGTTTCATCAGGCCGGATAGAGCAAACCTCTGAACATTGTTTATGTGTATCAAGTTTGGGTATACAGGTCTGACGACCTTGAATTGCTTAAGATATCTATTTGTTCACGGATAGAGTCAAGACTATCGAAGCGTTAGTATGTTTGTTATCAGTCAGTCGGCTCTTCAATAGTGAAAATTTACTGTTCATCGGTTCAACAAACCGCTTGAATTTGAGAATAGTAATTAACATACATTACCGTATGACAGGGGACTTGAAATTTTTTGGATTAGTTTTAAATCTTTTTGACTTTTTTGGCTTAAATTGGTGCTGCTCAGGTATTTTGCTTTCATTCCACTTGAGATAAAAATTTGGCCTCATGAAAGTGATAAAATTCTGATTTGATTTTTTGAAAGCTGAATACCAACACCAATTGGATCTCTTTAACTAACCGCACTGACAAAAATGGTTTCAATCCAAATCGATTAACAAAGTACATTTTACGACTTCAATTGGATTTTAAATTGATTTAAATTGATCTTTTTTGAACATTTTGGACCAATTTGAAGGTCTTAAAAATCGATTTAAATCGAATTGGATGGATTTTAGACTCATTAAAATCAATTTTTTTGCTAACACAGCGAAAAAAACATACCCTTTAAAAAATAGTTGGAAATTTTTATTCTCAATTTTTTTTAAATATAAACACTCGTGCCAGATGTTATAGAATTCAATGAAATGATCCACATAAATCAGATTTTCAGCTCAAAAATAGGCAATGAAACTATAAAAAATTATAGTAAATCACATTTTGCAAAATCCTATGTAACAAACAAAAAAAGGGTCAGAATAAATTAAAATTTGATCTCATTAATATGCAATTAAATCATAGAAAGTTATGAAGATTAATCAGATTTTGAGCAAAACTTATAAAATTAATCAAGAAAAGGGTCAATATAAATCAGTTTTTGAACTCAAAATATGCAAGAAAATCACAGAATTTTATCAATATTTTGGTCTTATTTATGCCACAATACGCTATGGATGTAAAATAAAAAATGATAGGCAATGAACAAATGCAATAAAAATTCGAAATTGATGATTATCGAATAAATAAAATCAACTTAAATCGTTTTAAATCCGTTTTAACCCCTTAAGAATAATAACAAATTAAGACTGGCAAAAATGCATTTAAATTGATTTAAAATCGATTTGGATCAATTTTTTTAGCTGGGATTTAAGATCAATTTAAATCGATTTTAAATCGATCCAAATCAATCTTCATCTTTTTTAATTAATCTTCGTACTTTTTTCATACTCAAACTAATATAAATTTAACCAACGCAATTTTTCTTACTAAAATCGATGTAAATTTAATCAACGTACTTTTTTCATACTAAAATCGATCCTAATCCATTTTTGTCAGTGCGGATAACTTTATTTTATATAATCAAAAAAATTGTTTTTCCTTCAACGATAACATTTTTGAAAATCCTCTTTACCGCAGTGTTCGAGCGCCCTGCTGTTTGATTCTCATACTTTTTGCATCGCAATTCCATTTGCTTTGCCTTTGTGTAGGCTAACACATTTATAGAACTCTGCTGCGTTCTACTAATCAAAGCAACAACATGTTGAATACTTCTCGCCAATTAGGTCCTCAAAGTCCAGCTTAGCTGGTCGTTTTGTCACATTGGGAAAATAAAAACATCTCTCCTAAACCAAGTCAAATATGTCCTTTAGCCAGCCAAGGTCGCAACTATAGTTTGTAAACAATGATATCCATTCGAACATTAAATATCAACCAATTGATCAAATATACCATTATTATTTCCGAATAAATATCACGCCTCACATTCTGTTTGATGCAAGAAAAATCAACTTATAGTCGGTAGAGTTGCTGAATTGCAAATTGTACCAGTTTGACATTTACGAAATCAGCTTAGAAAATAAACTAATTTGACATTTTTGAAGGCGCGGAGAAAGCTACAGTTTATATTTAGAGATATAAATAATTGGCTGCAATTATGTTTGGATCAACTTTCGGGACTGCAAAAACCCCACAATTTATGAGAAGGACTTCAAACACAGGTTAAAAAACTATATATCATTGTTTTATAAAGTTTTGTAACTTTTCAAAATAAAAAAATCTGGTGCAGTTTAAGGGATCTCATCCTTTATTGGCCTGTTTATTTTGAAGGTCATTTAAAGCCACATCCGCTGTTTTGAAAAGGGAAAACTTGAATGTTAAAACTTGTCTCGGGCTAAATGCGGGTAGAATAGTTAGGGAATTTCACTTTTTGGTAAACAGTCTTGTCGTACATGATAACTCAATTTTTCTATAATTAACAACACTTATGAATGCTTGCTTGCATCAGACATCAAACTTGATCAAAATCCAAATCGCAGAAAAAGTCTATCAAGATTTCGAGGCAGAATTTGTTGAAAAAATAAAGGCCTCTCATTTTCACAAGTCCTCTACAGGTTGAGGTAAGCTTTAAGTAAAAAAAAATATACTTATTTTTGTTTGTAAATTAATTGTCTCTAGGATCCAGCAGTCCGAAAACTGGTCGCAGTCCTGCTAACTCTGTCAAAAATGGGACTGTGAAAAAACAGTACTCGTGCGGAGTTTGCAAACGAAAAGTCGACTTCGCCGAAGCATTCAAATGCAAAGAATGTTCGACTGACATCATATGTTTTAACTGCATATCAAGTTGTATCGCTAAAGAACACAAAGTTCTAGAAACTTCCGGATACCCGCCTTCAATTTGCCCCGAACATAAATTTGTCGAGACTCTCTACTGCACGACAGATCTGAAAACATTCTGCTTGTTATGTCAGAGCGAACATACCGAACACCAACTCGGCTCCATCCGAAACAAAGTCGCCCAATGTCGCTCGGCTGTCGGTGGGATGATGAATGACACGAACGAACTCGCCGAATTCCTTGGCCGAGAAACGAGAAAGAGTAATAGGATTTTGGAGAACTGCCAGTCTGATTCGTGGTTGTTCCACGAGGAAAACACCCACGAGAGCGTCGTGAATGTGATCCGAGAACCACTTCAAGAGTTGTGGGCCGATTACGACAAGCGAATGGACGAGGCAGTTGAGTTACTCCGAGAACACCATAACAAAGTGACAATGCGAAAAAGTACAGTCAGTAATATTCTTGCCGAGTTGAAAGACATTTTGCCGCACGATGACGCTAAAGTTATAAACTTAACCCAAGAACAAAGCCCGGCTTTGAGAAAGCGAATCGAAACTGAAACCGAGGAAAACAAACAGCGATTCCTTTGCACTCAAGTGACCTACCATAAGCCTTTGACCTTGGAAGAAAAACACGAGAAACTGAAAGCCGTTCTCGCTTTGTGCTTCCCGTGCTTTAATTTGCCGACGTTGACTTATACCCACTGCGTTGAACCGAAGTCGTTCACGAAACTCGATCCCCCAATTGCCGACTACCAGAACCTCTCCGACTGTATTGTCGTGCCGGCTCAAGGCGGCTTCTTTGTCGTGGATTTCGACTCGCAAAGTAACGGCGATAAAACGATGACTGTTACTGTGCATGATATGAAAAAAGACTCTCCCACCGTTCGGGTTTCTGAGTCGAAGACTTTCTCAATCAAAACGTCTCGGAAACCGTTCGTTTGCCCATCGAGTACCGCTAAAAGCCGACTGTACGTCTTAGACGAAAACAATTCGGCTTGCTACATTGAAGGACATTCCAAAAATGGATATGACTATGTTTTGGAGCGACAAAACTTCTCTAGTAATTACAAGTTTAACGAAACATTCTTACCCGGCCATGCTATATTTTACAGACACAAAGAAAACGAAAGGTTTTACACTATGGTCGATTTCGATTCAAATAGCGACAAAAAATTGATCTCGTGGCTGGTAAATCAGACGACTAAGGTGACTTTGAAAAGCTCCGAATTACCACCAGTGCATTTCACTTCATTCGCAGCCGAAAGATATACTTCACGACTCGCCTTCGTCGAGAGTTCGACTAATATCCGAGTCATCCATTTGAAAAACGAGGATGCTGGAATCGACCGAGACTTCTCGTTGCCGACTTGTCATCTCGGGCTGGGGTATGCAGACGCGATTGCGTTTTTCGACGAAGATCGAATTGGTGTATTTGACAAAACTAAAAAAGAAGTCACTCTTTTGGAGTTCACAAAAACTAAAGACGGCGAACATGAATTATGTGCGTGGGCTGCAAAAATGATCATTACGTTAGAATCGAAGCTGCAAGACGAAGAAATTGAGGATGTTTTCAACGTCGGCTCACTGAACGGAAGTGTCACGATTCTGCTGAAAAGTGGAAAAATCTGGAAACTAGATTGGCAAACAGATGAATGATTGGTCAATTAGCAGAATGTTTGAGAAACAGACTCAATAATTATTCTTTGACTCTTTTTATATGACTCCATGGTGCTTTGTTTGTTTAGTTATATCAATGAGTATTTCAAATTGTAGTTAAATTAAGTCATGAAGTGTTTGTGATTTTTTACCGGAATCATCTTACTAAAATTTGGTAAATTTTTAACTCAAGAATTATATTTATTTTTTATTTTGCCAATTAAAAACCTTGAGATGTATTTAGTCAAGCGGGTTAGTGGTGCTAATTCTTCTTCAGGAGTCTTTGACACCAATATAGAGGGTGGGATATTTTTATTTATTCCGCCCAAATTTCTCATTTTTTGATTTTGTAATACTCAATGTATAAATGTTGAGAAAAATATACTGATAGCACTGGTTGGTTTGCTTAATACAAAAGCAATCACTTTATTCTAAAGCTGACTTCTAGAATAGCCGAACTTCGAGCGGATACGATATACGAAGGTGGTCATTTTTTTTCGCTGGGGCTATTTTCTGTGTTTTTTTTCTAATCTGGCTAAATCTCTGGAGCGAACTTGAAATATTTTTGAGTAGTTTATCAAATAGTCATTTTAAGCCAATTGGGTTTATTTACAATTGGCGGAATAAGTTGAACTTTGGGCGGAATAAGTAAAAAGACCCACAATTTGTCCCAAAAAAAAAGATCCTTTAATTACCAAATCAATTTTCATGAATTTTGGAACAAATACTTAACAGCCTAAGACACATATTTTCAGGAAATTACAACGCTGAAACATGTGTGAACAAAAAGTTATCGCAATATTTTACTGCGCAAAGTATCAAACTGCATTGAGTTGTTCATGCTTCTCACTTTTAAAAATTATGCAGTTTACAATCGATCAGCAATTTTTTTTTCAATCGAGCAGCGAATCGAGCAATGAATCTGTTTTAATGTTTGCCAACAAAACGGACAGTTGAGACTATTCGTAAATTTGCTCTTAAATTCCCAAATCATTACCCCCACCCAAACAGATCTCGAATGAGTAAAACTTACAAAAAGTACCAAGAAAAAAGCAGATGAAAACTTTACCGAGGTCATAACCTTCCAAATTTTGTATGAATACAATTATTTTCTTTTGGTAATCGAAAAGTATCATTTTTATCATCTAAAATACAAAATTTTGTTTAGAAACAATTTTTGATCGTTTTGTTCAAGCTTTTGAAGATTACGCATGTACTAACTTTTGTTGGTTTGAACATAGTTGTTTGAGCGACTAACGTGGTAAATTTAGAGTAAAATTTGACCAAAAAAGCCAAAAGTTTGTAGTTTTTTGCAAGGTGAAAAGCACTACAACAAAGTAACATGGGAGCTTTTATGCGTTTTTTTTGTCCACTCTGAACCCAATTTGAAAAAGGCCTCACAATTTTCCAACTTTGCTGATAATGGTCTCAAAGTTTGAATCAGTGTTTGAACTGAAATAAATTGCCGTTTGTGCGTAGGATTGTTAAGTTATCATTGTAAAATAAAATGGAGTGTTTCAAATGAATTTTTTTCAAAAAAAAGCTCAAAACTTTTTTTTGCAGAGAGATTGCAGAAATTTTTTATAATATATTTTAGCCTAGCATATCAAGGCTTTTGGATAAGTAAAATCTTTCCATTAAAAAAAATGATTTTTAGAATAACCGAATTAGTCAGATAAAAAACACTTCATGCAACGCTTTCTAACATGGCGAAGCTTTAAGCGATTTTTTTCGTTTCTTTTTTTGTCCGATCTGACCCTAATAAGGAAAAAAGCCTCTCAAATTTCTAGTTTAGTTTAAAAATTGAGAATAAAATTCAGTGCTAATTTGGGTGGACTTTTTTCATAACTTTGTTTCTAGAATAAGTTCCAGTAGATTGAATATCAGTTGGTTAATTTTTAATAGTTCGCGCAAGATGGAACCGAATAAAAGCTGATTATTAAATTGCGAAGCTTGCCAAAACTATAATTGTTCGGTTGTGCTGCCAAAAATATATGAAAACAGCAATCATTTTTAAAGCCGTTCTAATTCGAAATTATTTTTTTTCGGATGCTAGCCTTCAAACAAATTTGAACTTCATAAGATTTCATAAAATGAGCAAATGGAAAAATTAAAACAAAAGCAAAATTATTTGAATCAGTTATGAAACAATTTCTGATAGTCACAATGATGTGATGAATTTTTTTTATTTTTTATCTATTGAATAAGTTATATTTAGGTTTTTTTGGCCAATTTTACCAATTAACTCAATCTACTTAAAATTACGCTCTACTTTACTTGTAGAACGAGCAATTTTTATCAATATTTTTCACCACTTTCAGCTAAAGTTCTCGCAAGAAAGAAAATTTTCTGACATGAAAACGCTTATGGAATAGATTTTGATTGAAGAAGAATTTAAAAATTTCAACTCAGTTTCTTTTCAAGATTTTGCCCGTGAGATAACACTTAATGTTTTAAAAAACCGCATATGAAATTTGTTATTTTAATATTCATTTTAAGATGTCAATTGCTATTAGGTTGTTTGAAAATCCTGTCCAAATTGCATGTTGAAATTGAAATTTGTCTGACAAAATATCAAATCGAGCAAAGATATTGCTTCACATTTTGCAAATTTTGCGACAAAAACGCATTTCATTCAAACTTCCTCGAAGTTATCCAATTAAGAAAAAATTCTTTTTGCGGTCATAGCATAAAGGAAGTTATTTTAAATCGACTCTAATAAGAAAGGTGGAATGGTTCCCCACAAAACAGTTGTCTATACACTAATAAAAACACAATAAAGCCTTTAAGTTCTCGTGACGATGTAATGGCATAAAAACTGTGGAGAAAATAGTTTCATAAAACTTTAGCCTAGTATGTCCATAACTTTTCTGGGATGATTTGATGGTTTGATGAAAAAAATTTCCCGAGCACAGATACTCCAACATTTACCTTGCACGTCGGATTTAAAAAATTTAGCCAAGAAAAAAGTATTCTAGTGAATCTCTAAGCAATTTTTGTTCCCCGCACTGTTTGCCTAATCTGAAGTCATTTTGAAAAAAAAAGGCCTCTGAAGTTTTCTAGTATGCTGTACAAAATAATTGCGATAATAATTCAATGCAATTAAAAATAAAAGTCAATACTGGGTCTTTATCTTGATTCGGTGGTTAATTTTTGATGACGATGAAGAAATTTTTTGTTCTGACGAAAACAATATCAAAACAGCAATAATTTATTTTGAAGCCGCTTTAATTTAAAATCAACATTTTTTCAGATGCTGCCAACCAAATTTTTTTGAACTGATAAAAAAAGTAAAAGAAGGAATAAATGGCTCTTCTGAAAGGTAAAAAAAACGTATCCGAATCAGTTACAGGAAAAAATGTCAAATAGCCAAGTTAGTGATGGATGATTGCGTAAAAAAGTATATCAAAGAAGCTACATTTATGGCTTTTTTGGCCAAATTTTGACTCAATCGCTTAATTTTACGCTCTTATTCAATGATAGATTCAGCGATTTTTATTAATATCTTTTCATCCCTTTTCAGTAACAGCGCTCGTAAAAGGGCAAAACCTATGACATGGAAACTCCCAAGAAGTATTTCAAATGACTGATAAGGATTTATGAAATTTCAAAAAATCGGGGTTTTTAGTCAAAATTTGCGCTCAAAATAACTCCAATGAGAAACTTTCGAAAACACAAAAAATGACCGCAGATGAATTTTGGTAGTTTCAATTACATTTCAAGAAGTCAATTGTTTTAGATAATGTTTGAATGCTATCCAAAATGCAAGTTAGAAAAGTGGAATTGTTTGACAGAAAAATCATATCGAATGGTGATATTTCGACTTTTTTTGAGAAATTTGCAACAAAAACATCTCAATGAATACTATTTTGAAACATATTTGGTAAACCAAAATCCTTTTTTCCGCTCATTACAAAATTGAAATTGTCCTCAACAGCTTTTTTAAGAAAACGTGAAATGGTTCCCCATAACACATCATTCCAGACACTGATACAATAAACCAGCAATGCGCTTAGGTTCTCGTAATGTTTTTCTTGTTGTCTGATTTCAATTTGAATCCTTTTTTTGACAAAATTATCGCTTAGGTTTCCACATTTTCTCAAAAATGTTTGCAGCGAAACTCTTTTGATAGAATTGAAGCCTATTTTGTCCATAGTTTACAGATAAAACTTTTTAAAAAACGTGAAAATCTTTTTTTGAAAAAAACCCACCACACCGAGTACAGATACCATATGATTCACAATGCAAGGTGGAACATTATAACCTACGTCAATGAAGTAACAATGTGATATTCAAAGAAAGTTTTGTTCACATAACTTTTTGTTCAATTTGAACTCAATTTAAGAAAGAAAACCTCTCAGGTTATCAATTTAGCTGCACTAAATAGTTGCGAATGAGCAGAAATTTATGCACAGAAAGTTTGGGTGCTGATTCTATTTGGTAACATATTAGATAAAGGAATTTGTTTTTCATTTAATTTTTGTTCTCGAAAAATTCCAGCAGAATGAATAGCAATTTTTCTTTTTGTTTTTTGGTTCGCAAGGGATAAAAACGAATATTAACTGATTCTTCTTAATCTGCCAAATATTATGCCAAAACCGCAATCCGTTTTAAAATCACTCTGGTTTTAAATCAATCTTTTTTCAGATTTGCCCACCAAATATTTTTGAACTGAAAAGAAATAGTAGAATGAGTAATTGGCTCCAGTGAAATGGAAACAAAATTGTTCGAAACAGTTTAAAAAAATGTATAACAGTCAAAAGTTTGTAAACTATTTAGTGACTAACGGATAAATCTACCAAAGAAGCTACATTCAAATCTTTTTTGGCCATTTTTTTAAAATCATTAAACCCTAGAATTTTACGCTCTAGAATTTTTCAATACACGTTCAGTCCTTTCACCAACATCGCTCATAACAAGTTAGAGCCTGTGACACGGAAATGCCTTTGAAATAAACTTGATTAAAGAAAAATTATGAATTTTATGAGATCGTTTTTCAAAAACATTGCGCTTTGCGCATAAACTAACCACACATTGCGCTTTTCAAATTCATGTAATTTTGAGAAAAACCGGAAAAGAAATCCAATAATTTCAACTTCATCTAAACGTTTCGTAAAAAAGTATATCAAAGAAGCTACATTTATGG